TTGTTCAAGTTGGTTGAGTTTTTGCGCCAGCTCTTCTGCTGTTCGCAGTCGACCTTCTTTGCGTGCAATCATCAGTTGTCCAGCAATGTGATCCATATTATTCGCTATATCACTTAAGTACTCGATTGTAGTTTTCTTTCCTTGGTATTTCTCATAAGTGTTGGACGTCGATATAGGTTGCTGGGGAAACCTTTGGCATATTTTGGCAGTAGGATTAATGGCTGGATCCATGTTTGCAAAGTTCTGTTTACCTGATACTCGCTCCGTCAGCTGAAAAGTAAAAATAAATAATACATAGAGGGGGTACACTGCTGATAATCAAGTAAAATCTTTAAGAAATTCCAAGCGTTGTTTCAGATAAATTCATGTAGTTAATTATTTGACTTTTTGGATGATTGCGCGAAAGTAAGAGATTGCAGAATTACGATCAAAATGTTTGAACCTAATGAAAATAATCGTCTGATACAAAAGAGGGGGTTTAGAAGTTAATTGTTTCAAGCTTATCGAAATTAGTTACACCTTTAATGTGATACAGTACAACTTACTTCTGCAAGAGCTTTATCTTCCTCAGACCATCTAACTGCCAATTCAACCTTGCGTTGTGAAGTGAGGTTATCATATTGTCTGAGTGTAGGAAGAGTTTGCAAAGGTGGAAGATAATTTTGGACAAAATGTCTCGCCCTCCGATAAACTGCTAATGTCAAGCGCGCCACTACTCTGTTGATATAAAGTTTTGAATCTGGTTCACTGTATTTTGCAAACTGTCGTCTGAAATCAGATAGTGTATCAACTTTTATTACGGACGAGAAATAAATAAATATATATATATATATATCAATTATTATATATCAATAATGGAGGATACGTTTTAACGTACGAAAATACTGTAACGCTACGCTTACCCGAGTGTCTCAATTTTTTGTAATGCTTGCAATAAATCGGAGTGCATAGATCTGGCAGATTCTAGCGTATATTTCTGTTCCCCGGAGCTAGTGAATGAAAGAAAACATTGGAAAGAATTCTTTACATGATATTCATTCCAATATACGTGGGTGCAAATAACAAATCATTTCCAGAATTCGGATAAGATATTCACTACGAATAATAAAAATTGAGTCTATTATGGTAATTAAATTCATACAAATAATTAGTAAAAAGAAGTATGCAATCTTAATACAATCTTCACTAATTTGATGTTTGATATTTATGCCAGTGAAGACATTGTAGATTGTGACTACAAACAAGAACAAAGACATATGCCGCCCACCAACACTCCATCTAACCCTGTCTTGGGCGATCCCTTCTAGTTGCTATTCATCCTTTTCAAGTCTGATTCGAATTCTCAGTGCAGTATGTTCTTCGGTATTCCACTTTACCTTTAAGATCCCAAGTTATGACGTGTCTCGTGATGTAGATTGATGGTTTATGCAATGTATGTCCCATTCACTTCCAACGTATTTTCCTAATTTCCCCATCGGCTGGAAGCTGGTTTGTCTTCTCCCACAGTAGGCTGTTGCTGATGGTATCCGACCAACGGACATTGAGTATCTTGTGTAGATAATTGTTTGTAGATACTTGTACTTTCTGATGATGGTTGTGGTAGTTTTCCAAGCTTCAGTCCGTATAGTAGAACTGTTCTTGACGTTCATATTGAAGATTCTGACTTTGATATTAGTTGACAGTTGTTTTGAGTTCCATATAATCTTCACTTGTGGGAAATGTTGCTCTTGCTTTGCCAATCCCGCCTTTACATCTGCATCAGATCCTTCTTGATGCTGCCTAGGTACGTGAAAGATTCTACCCCTTCCAGGACTTCTCTATCAAGTGTGATTGTGTTGGTGTTCTCCGTGTTGCATTCGAGGATCTTGCTTTTTCTTTTATGTATTTTGAGGCCTACTGATCCAGCGGCTTCTGTCACACTGTTTGTCTCGACCTGCATTTGTCGATGTGTATGGGATAGAAGGGTCATGTCATCTGCGAAGTTCAAACTGTCTAGTCGCATCCGAGCTATCAATTGTATTTTGTGCTTCCCTTCAGATGTCGAGGTAGTCTTCATAATCCAGTCGACTACAGAAGAAAAGGGCAGAGTGAAACTAAGCAGTCTTGTCTGACTCCGGTCCTCACTTAGAATGCGTCTGTCAGCTGTCCTCCATGAACTACTTTGCAGTGTAGTCCGTTATATGAACTCCGGATGATGTTGACAGTTTTCTCGGGTACACCATAGTGTCAAAGAAGGTTCCATAATATTCGCCTATTCATGTTATCTAACGCCTCATAATCGAAGAGATACACGAGGTCGGAAAAGGAAACAGCCAAGCATCTGACCTCGCTAAATCAGTGAGGTGCTTTATTTTACATTTTTGTCATACTCTAACAATCACAATTAGTTTACATTATGCCTTTGCTAATCCATTATTTTATTTGCAGAGTGTATGCCAATGACAGAAAAAGAAACGTTATCCACCTTCGAGCTGGTCGTACTTCACTATGTAAACTACCTTTTCATTTGATTACATTTATATCTTTTCAAAGCAACTATCCTGATTCAGGACAGAAAGAATTGTGAAAGTATAGAGGAAGTAAAATTATTAACTCGATTGTTTCTTGATCCGTTAAAGCAACTTGAATAATAGGAAAAGTAACCACTAATGATAGAAACTTTGAGCTTGGTTATCCAGTTGGTGACTTAACACTTCATTTTCATCGTAGATACTATTCTTCCTATTCTGGAAATCGTCTGAGAGTTGTGCAGGTATTAAATTTGTTACGATGACAAAAAACGTTGGTACAATAGGGCGCTAAGAAATACACAGAATACCAAACGAAATAACTGCTGTAAACATTTAGAAAAGTCATACAATAAATAAAACAAGAATAGTATACATTAAACGATATAATCTATGTCACAGTATAACCAAGACATGGAAAGAGCTGTTTAACTGTTTATGGAGGCTTGGAAGCACTGAACGGCCGTTTCGTCTTAGTATGGGACTCCTCAGCAGTGTGCATCCACGATCTCACGCGCGGACGCTTAGCCCCTAGACCACTGAGCCAGCACCCAACGGTATTAATGTCTAACTCCAATTGATCCATGATCTTGCACAACCCTTCATCCATTGTCTGAGGTGGATAACTGTCTCACACCCGACACCGATTGAACTCCATTGGCCGTTCAGTGCTTTCATGTTTTCAATGCTGGTCTAGCTAAGAGCGACTGGTGAATTACAATCTCCACAAATCCCCATACTGTCTGTGAAGAGTAAAATAACAAATTAAAGCGGATCTGATACAAGCTTTTACTATGATCTATATTTGGCAAAGTAACAAACCACAGTTGTATGGTTCTAAGACCCTATCCAGGTAATTGTGACAAACTAACGGATGCTAATTCGATGTGAATATCATTCATTCCATGGCATTATGTGATAAACTAACCACTTTCCCGTTTCCAATCAAGTACTACAAGCTTTGGCAAGTAATGCGTTGTACGGAGGGCGCTATAACAAGAGTAAAACGTAATCGAGCTATCATAGTACGTGGTCCACGTATTTAATCATCATTTTTACTATGATTAAACATTACTGATAGTATGTTGCCACAGACTACCAGCAATAATTTGGAGATAATGATAATCAAACACAGTTGTCGAGGTTACCCAGCTCAGACGTTAAGTTCCAAAATCATAAAGAAAAACTCACTGTGGTGTACACTACTTATGTCGACAAACATAAGTAATAAGTAACACCGATCGGAAATGGAGACCCTGCAGCAGAAGGCTAAGAAGATAGAGTTCAAGTTAGTAAAAGAGAAAATAGAAAGGAATTGTGAAGTTGAGGGATCGTATAGAATGTGAAGGACAAATGATGGAAATTTGCAAATGAGGTATTCAGTGTATAGTTCTTATATTTTGCCAAGATACTCTGTAATTTTGTATTAAAATACATCGGTTGTCCCCACCTATGTGTAGGAAGCAATTTCCTACAGGGGTAACTTTAAGCTATTCTCTAAACTGTCGAATACAGAGTCTTGCTTTTGCCAAAGTCAGAACAAGTAAGCTATTTGGCCTAATAAATTTTATCTGTTTCTAAAACGTAAATTAACAACATTAGTATGCGAATAAACAGTAGTCTATTACATAGTGAAAGGGAGAAATATAAATGACATACCGAACAGTAACTGGAGAATAGGAAAAGTGAGTCAAAAAGGGAGAATATTGTTTCAGAATGAACATAAAATTGTGATTGGTGGATAAAACAAAGACAGTCATACAAGGTCAAAGAATTTAGTGCGGTGGTGAGCGTTTCACCTATCATTGGTGTGTTCACTTATCGATCACACTTTACATATGTTCTCGATCATTACACTACTAAAGCGTCGCACACCAAGTTAGTAAAAACCCCTTTGGTTTTTAGTATACATAAATGAGTCTCAGATTCTACTCCATCACAAGCTCGTACACTTATCCATATAAATTAACTTCTCAACTGTATCCAATAGCTCAGCAGCAAAGATTAGGTGCTCATCGAATGTTAAACTGATATCCTTGCTACGAACGAGAACGCAGGCCGGAAGGATCAGTTATTTGGTAAAATATGAACACTATACGTTCAGGACTTTATTTGCAAAATGTCCATCAAGTATCTCAGACTTTATTGTCCCTTCCTTTCCACACCAATCACTCTGTGTTCCCGTTTTATTCTATTCGATCTTTTCAAACTTCTGCTGTCAGGCATTTCATTTTCGACTGGTGTTACATACTACTTATATCTGTCGACATAAGTAGCACACACCACACCCTAACACAAATATCCCCAGTTTGTTACGCAATTATGTCACAGTGTTCTGGGAAATCCACCAAAATAAAACAAAAACACAAACTTTTGTAACAGATCAAGCAACAAATATTATGCTTCAATGTTACTTAAGATCGAAAATAAAACTTTTATCTCACTTTAGACTCGCAGCAATAATGGTGTAGGAAGGTAGCCATTCACAAACTTTTTTCATTAATTCTTTGAATTCCTGGATGTAGAGTCAAACAAATATCAACAACAAATATCCACGAGACTATTTGTAACTAACTAATCTCTAACAAGGAAAAGAAGAAAATACTAAACTCTTGTAGAATAAGGTGGATACATTTTATTAGCTGGAAACGGTCCACAGTCAAATGTACTAATACGATTAGTAAACTTTAAATGAAATAGACAGATTAGGTACAGAACGAATGACAGCAAAAAACTACACCACAGCAAACTATATTTAGTCTTTATTATATTGAATGTCATAGAAATACTGATCTCATATTATGCCATCATTAAATGTCCGTGAACCAGACCTTTCTTAGAGCATGGTCAGTGAAGAGATTCAGTAATAAAAGTTTACAGTATAGTAATAAAAACGGAGCACTGCATTGATAATTTAGTTTATTTGAAACCAAACGACGAAGATCCAATGCCTCAACAGTTTCTATTTAAGAGAAACTTTATCTGCAAAATTTCTCAACTTAGCAAACTTCATAAATTTCAGGTGTGCTTTAAAAATTCACCAATCTTACTTGATAGTGAACATATTTTGTTCTCAGTACAACGAGACTCTGAATAATTGCTAAACTTCATGGTTTATAATATAATTCAGAGATTCATAATCTACTGTTATACCTTTTTTCTGAACTGAATAAATCTATGCTATACAATGTACGTACAGAGAGTGAATTTGTGGCATATACAGAAACAGTCTCAGCTGGCTGTAGACCATAACAACGCATTTCCCTAACCTAGAATACATCGATCAACCAATACAGACTGATATAAGTAATGCCATAGAGAAAAAGAAATGATTACCGTTTTCCCACTCTTGATTTGTCTGGTGGCCATCCTGATTTCTTCGATCGTTGGTCGAGTGACATCAATAGGAAGGTCTGTGTATGCTGCTTCGATTTCCGGTGGATTCAGTGGAGCTGGTCTGTTCAAAAGTGCCTCGAAGTGTTCCACCCATCTGTTTCTTCGCTCTTGAATTTCTGTGATTGACTTTCCCTGTTTGTCCTTGACCTATCTCTCTGGTTTGTTATAGTTCCCTGCTACTTTCTTCATCGTATCATATAGTTGTTTCATATTTTATCCTCTTCAAGCTTTTTCCACTGTCGTTGCTAGCTCTTCCATATATTTCTGCTTGTCGGCTCTAATGCTTTTCTTCACTTGCTTATTTGCTTCTGTGTATCCAGCTTTTGCCTTGACTTTCTCTGTTCTTATACGGCTGTTATTCATTACTGTCTTCTAGTTCTTCCTTTCTTGAATCTTGTCTATGGTTCCCATAGAGACCCATCTTTTATGATGATGCTTCTTGAGGCCCAGCACCTCTTAGCGCGCTGAAGTCTGTGCTTCTTTGATCCCATTCCAGTTGCCCTCAGTAGAAGTTTCTTTTTTTTCAGTAGGTCGCGTAAGGCTTGGAACCTGTTATTGAGATTTATCTTGAATGCATTGAGTTTGTTAGTAATAATAATAATAGTCTGTTTTTAATTGAGACAAAAAGGTATGGTTTCGGCTGAATTCAAATAATGGAATAACTTGATAGGGATATTACTTTATCTAATCATATCCGTTATTCCAGGTATAAACAATGCATGATGAAAAACATAAAACAGTTACTCACTATATGCATTTGGATAATTGGGGTATTGATCGGTAACGTTTTCAAACTACTAACTTTCCTCTTCAAAATGTTTACACAAATAGGACATATACGCAACTCATAACCTAAACAATAGAATGGTAAAGAGATGATAATTACTTGTGATTCCAGAATAAAAAAGAAATTAAGAAGTTATTTATAAGAGCTGTCAATAATCGATGAGCAATCCGCAACTAGTAAGAAACAAATTCAGAACATTTATCCTAGATGATGGAAAAACTTGACAATTTACTCTAATCGTTACCGATTTTACATGATATGACGAAAACGACCGACATATTACGTTACTTGACTTTATATTTTCAGGAGGCATTACAAGTGGTGTTTTGGGACAGAGATTATGATTAAAAATATTCTAATAGATCCATTTTGATTTTTCACTCTGCAATATACAAGAAATTTGACTGAAAACCTTATCTTTCAGACTAGAAAATGACGCTGATAAAAAGTACGTCTCAATTCATTAAAGAGCGAAGGATCTTCAAAACTGATATCCTACAAATGTTTAGGATGTCTTGTCATATTTATTTTGTGTCAACAGTTTGTATACAAGTATGATATTTTGTTAGATGGGAATCCATATTTCTGGCCAGTGTATTGAACGATGGACTCAAGTGCGGAAGCCCAGTTTATGACTAATGAACAATCACACAGTAGTTTAGAAAAATGTGAAAATCATCCATCAAATACGTCATTTGCACATCTTCGAATTATCTCTTAGAAGCTTTATTGTTCCTTCATTCCTGATGTTGTATTGATTGCCTTCGGTTCCGTTCTCTCTTCTCTTCATTTCAATCTCCTCAACCTTCTGCTCGCAAACATTCCACTTTCTACTGGTGCTACATACTACTTACATACGCTAACATAAGTAGCATACACAAGTAGTCTCATTTTTTGATCTCATTATTGATCGCTTGATGGTTAACGTCAATAATTCAATCTCGTGAGTAACCATCACTTTGCCGCATCGTATAATAGAATTTTTGTCTATCGATCAGCATTCTTTGGATTTATTTTAATAATAGAAAACTCTTTCACAGAATCATAGAATCCTATAAGTCGAAAACTTGCTTTTGACGTATGCATACTTATTTCCCTGATTATCTACACAATCATCAAATATGAAATAACTTCAAAAACAGCACATCTTAATCCACATTTTTTGTTGAAATAAATGAGTTTAATTCTGGGGATGATTACGGAAACCAAGCCAATGTATACACGCAACATCTGGCTGAGCAAGTAAAACTAACAGGATTCTGAGCCTTCAAATTCACAAATTCATGGTCAATAGTCTTGAAAGAATCAATAGAAATGACCTTGGCAATTTTCACGAAGATCACACAAACAACTCCAGTTAAGTTTAATCTTTATCCCAAGTTAACGTTTATGGTCCTATAAATATGTTCAACAAAGTATCAGAATAAAATGTCCACTAAATATTTACAACAATTGTATCTCACTTGTTTTAAGTGAAAATATCTCACTAAAATACACTCGTACTGAAGCTTTCAGTCATTTAGTCCAAACGTTGAATTTATTATATACATGCTTGGTTATATTTTGGACCTGAAGAACTGGGAAGCGATCAAAACAATATCTTCCTGGAAATGACTCATATCTAACAAGAACTAAGAACTTGCTATGGAGAAAACTAGTTAACTGATAACTAAAGTCAGATCGAAATCACTTACCGTTTTGGGAAGCAGAAATACTTCCTTTCCGAAAAATAACTTCTGATTCAAATAAATAATTTGGATGATCATTAGCATCGGATGCATTCGAAGGAACCGGAAAAAGATCTAAATCTTGTCCGTTAAGAGCATGTAGAAGACCACGAGCATTATGTATAGAAATAAAATAACTGCAGTCGGCGCACAAAACATAACCACATAAACGGCAATGATGTCGCCTGCGGTATACAGGATTATAGTCTAGAATAGTATTTGTCAAACGAGTGACATTAGTTTTGTTAGGCCAAAACCTAAAAATGCTCGCATTGTTTTCCGATGAATTCAAGTACATGTCATCTTCATCTGGGAAAGCCATTTCAGCGCCTAAACCAAATCCCTTACCACAGCATGGACAAAGGTCTACCTTAGCATCAATCCACGGTACAATGGTTTGTTCAAATACTGAAAATAAACAAATTCATCGTGAAGTGTTTACCTTTTCGATCGCTTTCGTGTGTTTCCGCTACGTCAATTAATTTTTCCAAACGTATTAACAAACGGTTTGTTTCTAATGAACTGCGATTAATATGGTTTTTTCGTAACTGCATAAATTTTGGCGTCAGAGACTGATAAACGCCTGTATCCTAAAATGAATATTTAAAAAGCTTACCAATTGATTGAATTTCATTCTTTCGATCATAAAATGCAGATGAGGTAATTAGATCTGCTTGTGTCTTGAGTACAGGATTAGTTACAGATAAACATTCTACCAACAGCTATCAAGGTTAGAATAAATCAAACCTCCATTTTCTGGGATATTGATACTTCGATGTTCTACTTTGAAATGTTGGCTCAGTAAATCAGGAGTTCCGAACGTAACCATACATTTTGGACATATAAATCCTTCTAATATTGTTTCGTCAAATGGATTAGCCATATGACGTGCAGGGAAAAGACATCTATATATGCTCTTTTATCATCCAACATAAAATATATTAACAACAACTATAAGGTAAAATAAATCGACAGATGTGATGAAGTTTATGACTAACTGATATTATTTATATTTTAAAATTTGAACATTTTTACACTGCTTTAAAACAAAGGCACCAACGATAGAACAATATTTCAGACACAAAAAGTACTTCGTTATTATATCATGCTCACTAAAATAACTTGTTTATCGCAAATGTAGTTGATTTAGGAAGCTAGATGAAGAGCAATAATATCCCAAGTTTAAATAAGTAAGCTCATATAACAAAACATCTATGATACTAGATGACTGAAATATATAAAGAAATGATAAACATTCAAGGTCTACCAACTAAAGGGATTGGACGGGTCCCAACTAGAAAGCCTACATCTTTGAAGTGGCTAGGATAGGCAGTCATTAACTTCATCGACTGGTGTGTAGTCTGAATTCGGTCATCCGCAGTTTCTTTGTCGAACTATCACGCTAGTCAGCATGCCAACTACTAGGGATATATATTAAATCTTACAACCATCAGTCAATTTGATGCCCTTACTTGGAATTCATGATGCAGCAGTTACTCGGCCCTCAACCAATAGATCGCCGGGTCAAACTCCGGCCATTACTTTGTCATCAACAGCCTTTTACTACCACTACTCTTCATACACAGTGTGATTCGAAGTTAAGTACACGAATCTGTTCTTTAAGTAAAACAAACTACCTTGAACCCCATACTGAACCTGAAAACTATTTACCTCGTGGTTCAACTACAGATGGGCAACACTTGGAAGGGATATACGATTAATATCGTATTAATACATATCCGTGACAATCATCTCCGAAGGCCGCTTCACAATCAAAATGATGCACAATGTATCTGTTTTGTGATTAGCAGACATACATCCTCCCTTCATTTAACAATACTTTTGTATCCATGTCGTTATCCTGCCAGTGACCCATCAAAACCTATGGCACTTCAGAAGTAAGTGAAGTGGTCTGGATGATCAAATACCCTCCTGTATTCTGACTTGCTACTGATGCAGACCGGCTCTGAGGCGATGCCTTGGATTCATGAAGAAAAGAAAACATCCCAAACATTCATGTACTGTTATTTAGGTAACCCTATATTTTGTCAGTGTAAGAAATATTATCTTCTCACTTTAAACTCATAAGTTTCTAGGCAGGAGGCGAATCTTCAAAACGTCTGTATTAAAGCTGAACCCAGAAGAATATCTGATGTAACCAGTTTAAATGACAAATTAAATTGAACTTTGGCGGGACAAATAATGTATAATTTGGAGACTTTTGGAACACTGATACACCTTCCAATGAAAGATCGTGATAAGACCCGTTGAGTTATAAATCTATATGGAGACTTTAGGTCAGTAAATATGAGTACGACTGGGCAATAGCAAGTAAGATGTTCCAGGACGGTCAAATCTATCTGACTGATTGGATCTTTTTACTTATTGAGGTCTATCTTCATGATGGTTGCATCCGCAAACAGGTTTTGTAGAGCTAAATAACTAGCAAAAGTCACAACCTTATATTAACTTGGTTTAACGAGAATGACTATAAATACAAATCTAAATTCTACCGAAAAACTTTGAAAAGGCCAATAATATACTAGTATCAGAAGTAATTTTGTTCATAATGGTTACTATTGTGGTAAACCTACACACATAAAGCCAAAGCGATAATATGCATTCACTATTTCAGTCTAGTAAGATTCCAGGGATAAGCACAAACCAGTTTAAGGAGTGAATATTATCAGTGGTAAAAAACTGGACTACTTCGCTGGTGTTTCGTGATCGGCGAGAATACAATTTATGGACGAGCCAATCAGACACGTTCAAGGGATTTAAAGGTCGCGGCGGCAATTTCAGTACCTGATGCTAATGTACAACCGGTTCACAGGGGATTTTGGAGACGACAAATAAGGCGTTACAGTAAATGGAACTACTAAGAATTTCCTTTATTTGTAATTGTGGTAATCAAGTGACTTGTAGACCTTGTGCACACTACCGTGATGTTGTCCTTCGATGTAATATATGTTGGAGGAAGATGTCCGCTAGAACAGGAACTATTTTCGCTCGATCGAGATTGAGACTAAGGCAAATTATAATAATTGCTGCGAACGGTATGGTAAAAGCACCAGTAACATTGGCTGCAATATTCGCAGATGATACTGAAGCTCCAGCTGTTCAGTGGTATTACTGATGTGGGGATATACAGGTAATAAAAATGACAAACTTACATAACCGGAGTATACACGAACAATATTGAAGCTATGTAGTCGAGGCTGTTTTTGCGACCTTATCATTTCCCCAGAGACCGAGTATTACGGAGCCATATGGAAGAGTTCTTCTCCCTTAAGCATTGCGATTTTAAAACCTTTAAACCTCTTTTTAACCTTGACAAGTTCTTGGACTATGTAAAAGAGGTGTATCCGCTTCAATTCTTTGGTTTTTTATAATATATTTTTATTGCATACTAACTGTTTCCTGATTGACTGATATTTTTCAAGGTCACCTCAGATTCGTTCAAAGGTTGTCCACATATAATAGTCTCGCCATATTTTATTTAGTAGTAGAATTATTGTAAACACGGGAAATAAACCATGTAAAAAAACTTACAACAGAATGGATCACGTACTATGGACTCGAAATAAAAAATAAGGGACTTACATAAGTCCAACACATAAACTGCATAGGTAAAACGGAGACTGAATGAGGCATATTATTGTTTCCAACATTTTATCGTAGACAACATACACTATTTTGTGCTTAGAAAAATTACAGCTGTCTAGTGGCCGGTCAACGGAAAAGCTGAACACCATAAGTCATGGACCTGTACCATAAAGAAGATTAGGTCACGATCACATGACTATAACGTTAATAAATCGCCTACTTTACATAAGTCTATTTGACATCCCATGTGACAGTTATTAAGAATGGAATGTACGGGACACTAATAATTGCGACCGTTTGCGTTCCGTAGCAAAAACCCTTTCACTAAGCTCAGGTGATTTTTAAGGCTATTTATTGAAGGAAACACAAATAACCAATGAAGTAAATGGAGCTAAATATTACACACGCACGAAATTTCTCAGGCAGAAGGCTCCAAGATCTATGTAATATTTGGACCAACCTTGAATGAATTACAAGAAACCAACGAATAGGAAAGATGAAGGTTTGATTTAAAATACACCTTATTTCCTTGACCTTCCTGTGGAAAACAATGAATAATTATACTCATATGACAGTATTCACAAATCTCACTGAGAAACACTGGTTCCATATAAATGTTTTTAAGAAGATACTGTAGACTAAGAATACACAGAGATTTTAAAGGTGATACTGCTCGATAAAAATAACTGCTACACTGATACAATGTACATCCATCATGACACTTCTGTCAACTTAACCTCCAACTCAACCTTCACTTTATATCTTGCGCACTTACGCGCATTTTCAACAAACAACAGGTTTCTTCTCTGTTGGCGGTACACAGGAAACCTATAGTGGTAAATGAATCCGCGAGATAAATTGTTCTGTGAGTCTTCGACATTTGACGCTGACCTCATTAGTTTTACTGAACACACTATAATAGAAGGTATTCGGTCACGCATCCGCATCGTATCACGAGTGCGTATGTCGTGCTGAAAATCTGTTGAAACTGTTAACCAGCTTGCACTAATCACTTCTAGATATATTGATAGCCTTCCAAAAATTTCTTAAAACCTCTCCATTCCTGACTTTTGATTTGACTGGGTTGGCATATACCGTATATTAAGGTGTTACTGGTAAAAGCGTTTTCAAACCCAGTTAACGGTTTGTTTGCATGCATGACTGGCTTGAAAAATATCTGAATGACCCTTAGAATTGCCCACACACCCCCCCATCGTCCTCTTATGTATTTGTAGTTACGCATACAATCGTTACGCTGTTAATGTCATAACAAATGTTCAGCGCAACTGTCAGTATACGTAGGAGTGATGGTATTTTGCTGTGATGTTATGAAACATCCGGACATGGTAGTTATTCAACTTCGACGTCTCACTTTCTGTATTTTATGAAGTATTGTTTCCTCGTGGTTTTTATATACTAGATGCTTTGGACGGGTAAATAAGCTGTTCAAATACTCAACAACTTACAACATGTCCAGTTCAGTTGATGGTATGACGACACAGTCATTTGTGCGAATAATCAACTTACATAGTTGAACGAATATCCTGAAAACTGGAAACAACAATATCGCTTCTATCCCAACACTGACAGGGTTTTGTACCATCATCATTGACAAGAGTTCGAAGTAACACTCTTTGTTTCTTACGTTTTCTTCTACATTTTTCCGTTCGGTTATGGTACTTATATACAACACTCCACTTGTTATCCTATAGATACAACTTCGTGCCAACTTCACTCTCGATTTGTAGTCTACGACTCTTATTGATTGTAACAACAATCATCAGCTTTAAAAACTCTGACTACAAAGTGATAATTAGCTTCGTTCGACGAAATCAAGACTTCTTTTCTTGCGACTATACTTTTGTACTGTTACTTGGTCTGCTATGTGTAGATATAAATAAAATTCGTCGTTTACGAACAGAAGCTATCAACGACATTGTATGACTTTCCTTTTTAAGTCAATCGCAGTACAGGCATCGGGATCGATTATCAAAACACTAATGGTACTATCACTGTAGTATCTATACACTTGTGGTGAACTTAAGGTTGGTTATTTGAAGAACACAATCACCAGTCAGCACGACTTGATAGGACTTTAAAACGTTACATTACTCTTTGTTATTTTTATTCTTAATAGCTTTTCATTCCCGGCTAGTTGTTGCCAGACGAGTGCCGCGGAGAGTGCAGTCCTGAGGATGCCGTTATGGCATCGGAAGAGGAGGTGCTATTTGGGGCGGTCAGATGCAAGAAGGTGACGATAAATAGAGTGTTCTGATGGGGTGGTGTTGGCTGTATTCGTTGCTGTCGACGGACTGGAGCAGTGGGACATACGGCCCCTGGACAGACACCGATATAAATGGTTCAGCAGGTCCCTGGAGCACAAGTGTTGACATTCTGGATGCTGGATGTTACTCGGATTTCGATGGCCCGGTAATTTAACAGAGCTACAAAGGGCAGAGCGCTGCAGACTAAACATATTGAAAGGGAGCATGGCACAGACTGCAGTAAACAAGTAAGCGACACGGCAAGCAGAATAACCGCAAGGAGGGCTATGTAAAAGGGGGATGAGTGTTGTATATGCTACTTATGTATGTTGACATAAGTGATACATAACACCAATCGGAAGTCAGAAATCCTGGCAGCAAAAGGCTAAGAAGTTGGAATTGAAGAGAATTACTGTAAATGGAAAGGAATTGTGACTTGGAAGAACCATGCAGAATGTAAAAGATAAGTGATGGAATTCTGAAAACAAATTGTTCAATTCATGGTTCTTATACTTTATCAAGATACTCTCTGATTTTTTATTAAAACACATTGATTGTCCTCACCTGTGTTCTTGTTCACCATTTCCCCCAATGTGCTTTGTATTGATTCAAACGGCTGTTAAATCCGGTAGGAAAGTTTTGTAGGGTTAGTAATATGTCACTGAGCCTGAAAAAATCATTTGGCGGTCGATTCACTGTTCCCTGATCTCTTTCAATGTCAATCAACGAGTATAAACTAATCGCACGCTATGGATTGGCCCATGCTGCAATGGTTGCATTCTGTCCCTTGTACCCACTTCGAATAATGTTTTCTATATTAACATCATTTGTGTTGTTCGGTCATCACAGAAACCATAGTACCCGGATACGAAGAAAAAGTGATCAACTTTGGGTACTAACCGCAAGGTGTGACTTTAAAGTTGCCTGGTCGGTCACACCATTATCGTCTAACTGGAGTAGGCACCCCAATAATTTGGCGCAGATCATCTATGTTGGTAATCTACATATATAGGCTCTGAAATCTCAGAGTTACAAACGTCACGGTAAAATGTGATTTTAAACCACGGTAATTCGATTTATATAATCCTAACTTCTCATGTTAGCAGTTAACCGATAGGTCATGTTGTAAAATTGTAGTCTTGTTCGTTATTACTGGTCCTGATCATAAAATCTTAGATTTGTCATGATATGAAAGCCTAATCTATCGGATCTTACGAATAAATCACATTATTGTCGATTGTGACTCGTCGTACGTAACAATCAGCTGTATATTGTTTAGCATATCTAAAGGACACTTTTAGGATGTAGATAGAACAATATATTCATTGAGAATAAAAAGGGTAAGTCACGCAAGGAACCATGCCATCCGATTGAATGAATTAAAAGTTTTCAACCTTACTAATCTTGGCCTTCGTTACATGCTAAACGTTGAACACCTATTTTCAAAGTCGTCTCATGTCCAGCTTTGGTGATTATGTGGTTAGGACCAATACCACTACAATGTAGCTGCAAGTTTGGTAGGTGTTGTTATTTGTGCATAACCTTCTTATTGGGGCCCAGCATATGTGAAACTTGATATTCATATTCCTGTTTATCTTGATGAATGTTGGTCTAGTTACTATCACGGCTTTTAAGACCTCAATCGCGACTATATGTGATTGGGTCGCAATCTCCATCTCATAACCTTTCCTAAATCTAGGGTCATAATTGGTTAGCGTTCACGTTAAGAACACGTCACTAATTTTGCAATTAGCACACTGAAGTGTGTTCAGCCTCACTGATAGATACTAACCTATTCCTCTGCCAATAATATATTTTTGTTACAAAAACCCGGGTTATCTATATACCCCGAAGAAGTGGCCTACATCAAGTCAAGAAACGGCTGTAATATAATTTATCTAAATGTTGGAACACAACAAAAAATATATTTATTATAACCACTCTACCCATTACTCAATTTATTTGAAACTATGAGGTTCAACCTTGGTACTGGTACAATTTATTATGCTAGCTAAGTTCCAATGGTCGGTTAAAGGTCAGCCAACATCTAAATGTTCTGTTACTTCTTGTCTTAAATGATTACACTGGTGAAATATGGCACAAAATATTCAGGGTTACGTCGGTGACATACTTCTAGTTTTTGAGACATTCCACCAAGCTCCTTGACAAAAGCGTCCTCATAGTTGATCTGCGGCATAAACCGGAAATATGATGAGCCTTCACGGTATACCTGGAACATTTCTTGAGGTTTACGAACTTCCTGTTCTCTTACCAAGAATACGTGGTCGGTAATTTGTATGAGACTCCGAAGGTTATAATTTGTGAAGGAATACGAAGATGATCCCAATACCAAAGACGGCATCCGGTGACATGAATGTTAAATGTAAACCTAAAGCATTACCCCATATTTTCTAAAAACAATGGGGAAACTATTTCTGCCCAACTTCAACTTGCCTTGAAACAACATGTCGATAAATACCAGTGTGCCTTAAAATGGTAAAGAAAAACCATAGATACTGACATTGTTCTGCATCATAATATCATGTTGAGATTGGAAAATGGTACGAAGGACGTCCGGTGAGCCTTTCCGAACCATACCTCTGCCATATGCTCTATTCCTAGACCACCAATCAAGTTTATCAGAGTCAACAATGAAATCTGGATAACCAACTGGTCCTGTTTCTGGAGGGTGGGGTTACTTACTAGCAAGCATTGACGGTGAGGGCGATGAATTCAATCCAGCTGTGTCTGTGGGGCAGAACATTTTGTTTGTATCAGGCTATTTATGGATGAGAACAAGTCAATCAATCTGTGTTATCGAGGTTGTTTTCATACTCACCATTCAGACTCATGTTTCTAATTTTTATACTGGGTTAGCTATTCTACTAACACAACTGCCACATGAAAACTGTATGGCAGGAATCGGGTGATGAAAAAAACCGATTGTAAAGAATATGGTCGTTATTTTACTTAGCACTGTACTCTCTATATGCAATCTCTGTTCTAATAAACATTCTTCCTCATCTCAACCTTGACTTCCCTTCCTTCGTTCGAACCTCCTCTACGATTTTAAATATCATGATTCATTGTTCCTTATTACTACATTCTCTCATCTTGAGCCCCTGATCACACTTCATTCAAGCAACATGAGCTAGTACCAATTTAATCTAATAATTTATCATACCTCCGTCTGTTCAACTACTAAATGTTAAGCATTGTTTGTCGTTCAAATCCAAATGCCTTGCTCCTTCTCGGTTTCTCTTTTTCTCGCCTTTTTCTTTTTGTTCTCTTCAGAATCTTGCTCTGAAGACAATGTTGAGGAACTCGTGACAACTGGAACAAACTCGACGTAGGTGCTTTCTTAAGGTCATAATTCGCACCAGGCATACCACAAGTCCACTTTAAAAAGCTGCACTACATAAATACTTGGCACGTCCAAAATTCTAATACAATTTTTGCCGAGGTTGGATCTGGTGTGTAACGTA